ACTTACTTAACAATTCTTTGTCAGCCTCCTCTCCCTCATTTGAAAACTTTTACTGGGTTTTGAAATTTAGATGTCTGAGAACCACACTTGAGTAGGTTACTTAAAACTATATAATCTCTCTCTCTCTCTCTCTCTCTCTCTCTCTCTCTATATATATATATATATATATATATATATATATATATATTTATACATATACATATACATATACATATACATATACATATACATATACATATATATTTGTATGGAATTTCCTCATTAATTAATAAATAATAATACAAGAATAAACTTTATGCTTCACATACTCACAACTGTAAAACTACTTTTGCCAACCAATATATATTTGTGTGTGTGTGTGTGTGTGTGTATAATTTTTAAGAACTATTTTCTCTCTCTGTCTCATTATATATAGAGACAATATGGTTCTTTAAAATTATATGTCATTATAATACACACACAATAACACATACTTTTTTTAATAAAATAAACTTAAGTGAATTTATGACTTTTATTAGATGTGTGACTTGAGACTTTGGCAATATCCCTCATAGGAATTAGTATTTTACAATAGCAGGATCGGAAGGTACTGGTCTGAACCAGCTAGGACTAGTGCTCTCTTTATCTTCTTATTTATTTTCTGTTAATCCTCACCCAAGGATATTTTTTGCATTGATTTTTTTTAAACTGAAAGGGAGCAGGAGAGACAGAGAGAGAGAAGCACCAATGTGAGGGAGACATATCGATTGGTTGCCTCCGACAGGTGTCCCAACCGGGGCCAGGGATCAAGCCTGCAACAGAGGTACATGCCCTTAATTGGAATCGAACTCAAAACCCTTCAGTCCGCTGTCCTACTTTCTAACCACTGAGCAACTGGCTGGGTCTATCTTTATCTTTTTAAAGTGTTTATAAGACCAAGACATTACCGTGGCTCTAAGTGACCCAGGCCAGTCCTATCATCTCAGTATTCAAACGTCTTCCGAAGGTTCTAGGAAATCCCTCTGTAGTTCATTTAAAATCAATTCCTTTTTATTTTAAAGCTATGGAAATAGAGATTAAAAATTGTTCCATGCTGGCCTAGAGGGTGTGGTTCAGAGGTTGAGTGTCATCCCATGCACCAGAAGGTTTGATCCCCGGGCAGGGTACATGCCCAGGTTGCAGGCTCGATTCCCAATAGGGGGTGTGCAGGGGGCAGCTAATCAATGTTTTTATCTCCCTCTGCCTCTCCCTTCCTCTCTCTGAAATCAATAAACACTTTTTGTTTTTAATTGTTCCCATGCCTGTCCTCATTGAAAGCCACAGTCCTGGTCGTCACACATCCTTGTCTTCTGTGAAGTAACCAGCAGTGATCAGTCCTGTCCCCTTAATCCTCTAACAAGATTTTGACTAATGCCGGCGAGGCAGGAGAGATGATTTGATTTTCCCGCACGTGTGGAGCGGCGCTTAGTCATGACCTGCCCGTGTCGCGCTGGCGCAGTGCCCACGCAGACGAGTCTTTTCATTCTGCATTTGTGGGAACACTGTTTTTCATATTCGTGTTCTATCTCCTGCGTGCAACGCCCTCTCTAGCAACTGCAGTTTGACCTTGGCTATTTTGGCAGTCTTTTCACTTATGGTTTCTGGATCATTTCTGGATATTTTCTCATATGAAAATAAACTATTTTTGGCCGTCCACCTGACTCAAATTAGACTTTTCTTGACTTCTGATCACCTCAACCACAATCAGTCTTGTCCTCCTTGTCCCTGTTCCTAAATACTATAAGTAGTTATGGTCATTTATGCAAACACCTAATTATCCTATTTAAATAGAAAGTTCTGAAGGTTGGCAGTTGCATCCTTGTCTCCCAACAAAGTGTCCTGCATGCCACAGATGCCCATTCAATGCCAAGTGTCTCCTGTGTATTGCCTGTTCTCCCCCACCCTCTACCCCAGAAGTTTGCTGTCACGAATGTGGAAGCTCATCTGTTTTTTGTAAAAACAGTGTGAGTTTTGTCCCTGTTAACCAGATCTCTGAAATTTCCAAAGTAGGTATTGCCTCACCTTGTCTGATACCTGACAGCATATTTTCCAAAAATCCATCCTGAGTGGTCTCCAGGATGAAAATAATTATCACCAAGAATGATCGATCCTTGGCTTGTGTTAGTTCAGTGATCTGCGAGGATGATGCTGGGATCCCCAGCCCGCCCCGCCCCACCCCCACCCCCAAGGGTGGTCACAGAGAACAGGCCCTCAGAAGGCCTTCAGCAGCTTGCTTTGCGCCATCCCCCTCCTGCCTGTAATTAGACCTTTGAGAACCCTGCACCGGCGCTATCATAACACGAGTCACTCTCTCCTCTAGTCTCTTGCTAAATTGTCTTCCCCTCCCATTCCCAAGCTCTGTTAAGGCAGGGCCCATCTTTGTATTGGTCACCGTGATGTCCACCAGGGCTGACACAGTCACTGACAGATCTTAGGAGTTCACAAATGGAAACATGGGCGAGTGGACGAGGCACCCATGCTTCCCAGACATAGCCCTCCTGTCCGCAGTGCAGCTGCAGAGCAGGAGGCCCGGTGCCGTTGGTCATTCTCGCTGCTGCTTTCCCGTTTCAGGGCAGTCCAAGTGGTTGTGGTGTTTCCTGTAGGAAGAGCCGGCAGCAGCTCGCCCACATGAGGTGGGGTTTCGAGCTGTGCCCTGGGAATGGGGGTGATTCTGCAGTCTTCAGGTACCCACTTCCTTCCCGCCTTTTGCACTGAGTCTAGTGACTTAGCTGGTTAGTGCCAAAAGTTCCCAGGAAAGCGCCGTCACTTCCACCACCTCTATTGAATGTCTGCTGTGTGCTCCGCTCATGCGAAGTGCTTCACATTCATTCTCATTTGATCCTCAAATAGCCCTGCAAGGGTACGCACTGTTCCTGCTTTTGCCGAAGAGAGCCAGATCGCAGAGTTAGCAAGTGTCTGAGCCGGGGTCTGTCCCCAGGCAATCCGCAGATCCCATGTCATAGTGTCACCTCTTATGAAGTTGAGAGTCATGTGTCCTATCTGTTCCAGACGAAGATTAATCGGTCACTTTGTGTGCCAGCTTTCCTCTTTATTGCTTCACTGTCAATCACTGTGAATCGCTGCTCATAATTCTTCTATGATCACGCTGATCATCAGGAGGTCAGAGGGCAGTGGGCGCAGATGGAGCAACTGGAGCATAGAAAGTTGAGGTGATCTGTCCATGGCCACACCGGGGTCAGATGTCACTCTTCCACCTCAGCCACTGGTGGCTTCACACTGTTGCGTTTGGTGTTCTACTTCTTGACGGGCATTGAGGTCTGGGGGCACTGCCCGCTTCCCCACATGCTCTGGTCTGTGTGACGGAGACTTAAGGCAGAGTTTTACTCCTTCAATTGCACTCTGTTTCTGTTGGTGAAAAGTTATTCCAGGTCCTGTGATTTCCACCACGAAAGGTCTGTGAACTGGAGAGAATCATCTGAAAGAAGTAATTAAGCATTATTAACACAATTACCTCTAACAAAAGACCATTTAACTTCCCCACATCCAACAAAAAATTCATTTGCAGCTTCGGGAGCTCCAGCTGGAAGGGCTGAGCACAGCCCAGCGCCTCATTCAGGTGGAGGAGTGTCGGCTCCTGCCTCCTGCGCTGGCTGCTTCCTCCTCAGGGCCCCTGAACACACCTCCCTCCCGGCCCCCCACCCTCCTCCCTTCCCCTAAGGAACCCACCCCCACCTACTTATCACAGGCACAAGTCCAGACTATTGGCTTGTGCTCACCTCTCACCTGGCCCAGGGTACCGCATCGGCAGCATTGAAAGAACAATTGATTTTAAGCTATGAAAGGTGACCATGGCAATACTTAGAGGGTAGAAACAGTGGCCATCCTAGTGGAAGGAAAGCCTTGGTCGGTTTTTCTGAATTCGTTCATAATGTCAAAAATGACTTATGTATTATGTGACATTGTGTCCATCCTCACCACAGTTCCCTTCAGGGTTTTCACTGTATTTCACTAAAACATGAGCTCCGGGAGAGCAAGCACTGTGCCTAGCACAGAGTAGGTGCCCAGAAAATATTTATTGAATGAAGGATGGTACAGACGAAGAGATTGAAGATCCCAAACTTATCTGAGGTCACATTACTAGCAAAAAACTAAACCAAGATTTGAACCCAGGGCTGCCTAACTCTGTGGAGTTCTTTCTCCGTGATTGCTTGGATAGGCCGCTTTGTTGGTGCAGAGAAATGGAGATGGGAGACACAAAGGTGTTTAACAAGGAACAAAGCTCCAGCCGGAAGTCCAGGAAACGTGGGTTCTAGCCCATCCTTGCTGAAATCCCAGTGAGACCTCGGAAAAGGCCCTTCTCCATGCAAAGCCTCAGCTTCCAAATCTGTAAAATGGAGAGAAGGAAGCAGTGCTGGGTGAGGCTCTGAATGTCCTCAAATGCCCAGGCAGATGAATGCTTTGTCATCTCCCATGCTCACTCTGAGCAGGGGTCAGGGGTGGGGAGAGGGGGTGACTAATTCACCACCCAAGCAGGCTGAGGAAAGTAGCCCAATGCGTTTTATTTCGGGAATGCAGCATCCTCTCAAGCTAACAAACACCCTGAAGTGAAAGTTGAAGAGAAAAGAAAGTAGAGGCATTTGAAGGCTTAACAGCTTTTGGGGTGGGGGTCGGGGGAGAGCTGCTTTCACTCCTGGTGCAGCGCATAATCCGAAGCAGGCGCTCGCGGTGATAACTGCCCAGATCTGATACCCTGCAGATCAGAGCCCCACTTTCAAAAGAAAAAGAAAAACCAGACGCGTATCTTTAAAGCTTCCCTTCTTGTATGTGACACTTTTGTACGCCATTGGAGGATGCATATCCAGGGCCTCTGCGTCCAGCAGGGCTTTCTTCTGTCTCCCTGGCTTGGGGATTATTGATTTGGAAGGCAGGGCTAATTTACATGTAAATAAATCTCAGCGCTGGGCAGCAGGGACAGGATGTCCAGATGCCGGGACTGGCTTGCTGACGTCACGGCCTCATTAGCATGCGGAGGATGCGAGCACTGCAACAGCGACTTCGCTGGCACCTCCAGCAGCTCCGCCGCCGCCGGTTATTATTTTTTGGCCGAGCCGCACATTTCCTGGTTCCGCGTCCTGAGCTCTGCGACCAGCTGACTGGGTGCCCGGGGCTGGCTCAGGATCAGCTGGTGACGCGCGGGCTGGGGTCTGAGACTTCCTGCAGGACTGACGGCTGCGAGGTTCTCAGGGAGGCGGTGGGAGCCGCGGTCGGATCCCTAGGAGGGGAGGGGAGGGGAGGGGAGAAGTCACACTCGCCCCTGCCTGGCGGCGCCCCAGCAGGATCGGGGCAGCGGTGCTGTTTGCCGCGAGTGGGTGCTGAGATGCCGAGCAGCTCGCTCCTGCCCGCTGCCGGCTCCAGGAAGGGTCCAGATTTGCAGAAGGGTTTCTAGAAGAAGATGCGTTGGCTGCCTGCGGTCCTGCTTGCATTCCTGGAAGCCAGGCTCGGGACGAAAGTGAACTGGGGCAACTGACCAGCTCAGAGGGTCTGGCGGAAGCTCCCGAGAGTGGGCATTTCGTCTTCCTTGGAGGTAGGTAAGGAATTTGCTCTAAATCACACACGGCACGGCAGTGTTTTCTGACGAGGGTGAGAGCGCTAGGTCTGGAGGCTTGGTACTGGGGGAGGACATGAGGCCTCCATTATCTTAGCGAGGTGGCATGTTGAGTGGCCCCGTGCTCGGCACATTTTGCCTTTCCTGTGCTCAGTAGAAAGCTCAATTGTAAAGTGACATGTCACAGCTATAGGGCTAAGTCCCATTGCGTTAAAGCAGCATCTCTCTAACAGAAGTGCAGTTGTCTTTCTAAAAATAATAAAAATAATAATAGACGGGGAGAGGGCTTAAAAAACCGAACACCTGGGACAGTGCACAGTAGTCATTTCAGCTCCGAAGTCAGCAACCATCCGAGGAGCCGGGGAAGGAGGACTTGGCTGAGACCAGGTAAAGCCATGACGCTCCAGCTGTTTGGGGTTAATTTTAGCCGGAGCGTTCAGATGAGAATGGTGACATAGCTCCGGAACATGACTGCACAGCCCGGCGAGACACATGACTCAGTGTGTTCTCCACACTGGGTTTCTCGCAGGAGTGAGGTCTCTGCTCCCTTGGTTTCCTGAAAACCAATCATGGCATCACTGAGCTGCGGAGGAGGTCTTGCGATGAATACAGGTGTTTAATCCCATGATTGTTATGGGGTCTTAGAATATGCTCAGGTCCAGCAGGACTTTTATGAACCGTAAATAATCTAGGCCGGGCCAAATCACGCCGGGGAAGTGGTCTGTGCCAGATGCGATGCCATCCACCCGGCCAAGCGCGGCTCTTGGGGAACCTGGGCACAAGGACTGTTTCCCCAGCAAGAGTTCTGCCTCGAGTCAGTGCATCCATGACCCCAGCCGGGGAGGGCTCCAGCGTGCCGTGCACACACAGTCACGGACTGCCGTGTACCAGAGCTGCGTGTGCCAGGCTGCAGTTTGCTTGGCTTGGACATCTTTTCCCGGAGAGTGTTTTAAACCATCTCAGTGAGACCTACAGTAAATGAAGCAGCCCGGCCTCCTCCCAGGCCGCCCCGTCTGCTCTGCTCCTGCTGCCTCGGGGCCCCCTGGCTGCTGATGGCTGACACTGAGGGGTCAAGATGAGTGTTCCCATGGGCTCCAGAGGAAGTCACAACTTTGACGGAATTGCCATATTTTAAAAATTTGGATTTTAATCCCTCCTTGACTGCTCGTAAAGATTTTGCCTTTCTATCAAACATTTCCTCCCCACCCCCCTACCCCTGGGAATTCTTTTTTTTTTTATGTGAAAATTAAAACACATTGGATCCATTAAACATCGTTGTCTGTCAACAGTCGTGGGGCAGCCAGAAATTGTAAAACAGCATAGTTTTAAATGGCAGGGTTGTAAAGGTTCACCATGCAGTGTGTGTGTGTTGGGGGGGGGGGGGGCGAGGGGGTGAGTAGAAATAAAGGAAGACGCATAGATGGAAGCTTAGGGATTGGGAAGGGAACTTAGAGGTTAGCAGGATGGGGTGATGGTTTTAAGCGCTCAGAATGGATGCAGAAAGCACTAAAGACACTGAGAGTTTCATATCTGAGCACAAATTCCTGTCTGTACGATCGGAGAGCAATGGAACCTCTAGGCAGGGTGATAGGCATAAGGACTGAGTGAGGTGACACAGGAAAAGCGCCCAGGACAGTGCGAGCCACATAGTAAATGCTCAGTAAACGTTAGCTATTATTGTTGTTGCCATTGTTACCTTTTTAGCATTATGATAATACTGTTACTAAAAACAAAATAGTCCACTGAAAAGGCGCTATGTTCACATCCATTTGTCTGCAAAAAGGTCTTGCTAGCAAAGAAGGCGCCATCTCCAGTCTCTGTCATGTCCATTCCCACTCAAGGGAGCTTTGCACCCTGTTGATTGATAGAATAAAGCCTATTATTCGGGGCTACTGTATTTTGCAGAATCAAAAGTGACCGGATGGTAAAACGAAAAGCATTTAACTCAGGCACCCTTAAGGAAGCCCTCCTGTCTGGGCAGCTGACAAGTCACACGTCGAAAGCTGCAGGATCCAAATCGAGGCACTTCTGGATTTCTGTTTGCATTTCCCTTCTGTTCCGACTTTGCATGTGAGAGGCGGTTCTGTCCTTCCTTTGCAGTGTAGACGCTTAGCGTGTTCTTCTCCATCCAGGGAGGCCCTTGAATATGTGCTGCACCTGCTGGTTGGCTCCTCGGAATTGATGCCACCATGTGGGTGACTTCTGTTCCTGGGGCAACTCTTCAGGGAAAGGAGCAGGCCTCCCTGCCACCTGCCCATGACCCAGTCCTCTGCTCTGATTTTGTCCCCTGACACGGTATGTCTTTGCCACGTCCGTGCCCTTCCTCCTCTGTCACGAGCACACGTGAGTCACATGATTTGATGCTGTTTCTTCCTTTCCTGCCAGCATCTTCCTTTTAAAGTTAGGTGAAATGGAACTTCGATGCAGGGGTGGGTCTGAAGGACAAACTAAATGTGAAGTAAAGGAGCCAGAGGAGTCTAGCTTAGAGTTCTTTCTCGGGAAATTCAGACTTGGTCATTTTGGGTTGCCGTTGGTTTTCAGTAGTTGTGTTTTGCGTGGGGAATGGTATTGTACGTTGGCAGTAGCCCACCGCCCTGTGTCCCGCTTATACCTGTGGTCGCCTCTCTGGACTTTGGTTTCTTCGTGTGAAAACTGGGAACGGATCCCCTGGCCCCGCGGTGCCTCCGAGGTGTTGGCTTGCTTCCTCCCGGTGCTGAGGGCCTTCCTGTTCCCATGCACCCAGGGGCAGTGGCTATGAGGCTCATTTTTACAGGAAACCGAAGGCCAGGGAGGGAGCACAAACATGACTTAGCCTAAATGACGCAGCTGTGACAAATCTCTACCCACCAACCACGCATTGACTGTGAAGGCCGAGTGGGCAGGGCTCAACGCCACCCCTCTGCCCTGCCACCCCTCTGGCCCGACACCCCTCTGCCCCGCCACCCCTCTGCCCCGCCACCCCTCTGCCCTGCCACCCCTCTGCCCCGCCACCCCTCTGCCCCGCCACCCCTCTGCCCCGCCACCCCTCTGCCCCGCCACCCCTCTGCCCCGCCACCCCTCTGCCCCGCCACCCCTCTGCCCTGACACCCCTCTGGCCCGCCACCCCTCTGCCCCGCCACCCCTCTGCCCTGCCACCCCTCTGGCCCACCGCCCCTCTGCCCCGCCACCCCTCTGCCCTGACACCCCTCTGCCCTGCCACCCCTCTGCCCTGACACCCCTCTGGCCCGCCACCCCTCTGCCCCGCCACCCCTCTGCCCTGCCACCCCTCTGCCCTGACACCCCTCTGCCCCGCCACCCCTCTGCCCCGCCACCCCTCTGCCCCACCACCCCTCTGCCCCGCCACCCCTCTGCCCTGCCACCCCTCTGCCCTGACACCCCTCTGCCCCGCCACCCCTCTGCCCTGCCACCCCTCTGCCCTGACACCCCTCTGCCCTGACACCCCTCTGCCCCGCCACCCCTCTGCCCTGCCACCCCTCTGCCCTGACACCCCTCTGCCCTGACACCCCTCTGGCCCGCCACCCCTCTGCCCCGCCACCCCTCTGCCCTGACACCCCTCTGGCCCGCCACCCCTCCCCACTGCCTTGAATTAGCAGAAACCTCCGTCTTCAGAAGCCCCAAGCCATGGTCTGCTCTCTTCTCTGCTGTTTTCAGATACGGAAGAGTCAAAATGCTCTGTCTCTCGGACAGAAATTCTAGGTGGCATTTGGGTGAAGACCCACTGAAACCTTTCCCTCTCCTCTCCTTCCGGTTTATAACCAGTAGCTGCTCGTGACTGTGAATGGTCACAAACTAAGAAGTTGGGGGGGCGAGGCAGTGACTGAATTTGTTTCCCTCATTGTGTGTGTGTGTGTGTGTGTGTGTGTGTGTGTGTGTGTGTGTGTGTGTAAATGAAGCAAAGAAGAAAACGTTGCAGTAAGATCACACTGAGCTTCCAGCAGCACAAATCTCTAGAATCTCCACTGGGGACCAGGCCAGTTGAGGTTGGAGACTTGGTTTTCTTTTTCCTCTGGCCTGTTGTTGGAGCGGTTCTTTGTTTGGAGTCTGAAACCCGAAGGCTTGCTTGTTCTGTTATTTCCCTGGGGACAAGGGAGAGGAGAAAAGAAGCAAGGAGAGCCAGAGAGAGAGAGATTGGATGGAGGAGCTGCAGGAGGGGAGAGGGAGGCCGAATGAAGAAGCAGCTGGGAGACTATCGGAGCCATCTCCGACCCCCGGGGAGGGCAGCGCTGAAGAAGACAAGAGCCTCTGCTCCTGCTGAAATTCCTCTCCCGCCCCACCTGTCCTGCAGACCTCTGGTGCAGCCATTCAGATCCTAGACTAGCCGTGGGCAAACTACGGCCCGCGGCCGGATCTGACCGTTTGAAATGAATAAAACTAAAAAAAAAATAAAAATAAAAAAAATAAAAAGACCGTACCCTTTTATGTAAGGATGTTTACTTTGAATTTATATTAGTTCACACAAACACTCCATCCATGCTTTTGTTCCGGCCCTCAGGTCCAGTTTAAGAACCCATTGTGGCCCTCGAGTCAAAAAGTTTGCCCACCCCTGTCCTAGACCCTACTCGCGGCTGCACACAGGGTGTCTTCCCCCAGAGTACCACGGACCATTTTAAAAAGTGCATTCATTAAAATAGGCCTATTTTCCAGTACAGCATGAGCCTGCCTTTCCTTGATGGGTGGCTACACCCATTTGGCTGTTGGGTCTGTAAACATCAAGCTGGCTGAACCGAGGCCTCGGTTTCTCTAAGAGCTGACTCGGAAGAGGAGCAGCAACACTGGGGGCAGAAGGTCCAGGGATGAGGTCACAGTGGCCAGGGAGGACAGCGGAAGGCAGGGCTGGCCTGTCGGAGAGCGCTTCCAGAGTCAGCCCCTAGAGCCGCGGGATGAGCCTGTGCGAGGAAGAAGCAAGAATGATCTCCTGCTTCTGGTCCTGCATCCGAGCTGCTGCATGGAAACCGTCCTGGGGCCCAGGAGGGCCAGGC